GCGCCATCACTAAGGTCAGACTTTTATTATCATTTGTTTTGCAAACCCGCCGAATGAACAGGAGCCAAAAATGAAATAAAAATAAAATGTTATTTCAACGTAACTTCTCGCGCCCGCCAACTTGTGAGTGCAAAAAATTGCTAAAAAAAATTATTGTTATCTTCATTTTTTTCCGCCCGCCGCCTAACAAATCCAAGTTGCATTTTCATGGGAGTATCATGATCAAAGTACCGAAGTCTCACGCAGATCTATACTTTGTGCGCGTTGGTTGACAGTGAACCTCTCTGCGTGCTGCTTGAGACTACTAGGCGAACATGGCGGCGGCGTGGTTTCCGGTGACACGCCGTGAAACTCTGTCGTCAAAAACCAAGAAATCCCTCATTAATGCTGAAAATTGTATTTCATGTCTTCTCTCCGATCAATGATCTCACTTACAATTCTTTTAGAATTACACATATCTAATAGAAAAAAAGAATTAATTTTATTTTTTCCGCCCTCCTCAAAAAAATTAACTTATAAAAACTCGAGAACAAGGAATAAAAAAAGTTTGGCCTAAGTTACCTTGGTGGACCACGAGCTCTGTTTGTTGGTGTGACTGTCACAACACGTTCTATTTATTTCCAACGCGTGTGGTCGGCGCCTCTGATTGCCTTTATTTTGTATTTTTATTTTCGAAATGTATCACTGGCTGCGTTTGTTTTGTCATGTCTCACAACTGAATGCCCAAGCTGACTTTGTTTTGGCTGTAATGATTTATTCACATATTTGCTTGACTGGCAGTACTGTCCAACTTTTATTCAAAAAAGCAACTGGTCCCCTTATGCCGAACGTAATTATTTAGTTGGACAGCCCGATCAAGACTCCTTTGATTTAATCGGGCATATGAGCAGTCTAGGTTTGAAATTAGTAACCCTGTTTCGCTTTGTATTTTTTATTATAAACACATAGTTGCCGCTTGCGGTTTCGTTTCCAATAGAAAACAGTGTCTACCTGCGCTTATGCAATAAAAGTAATACATCACGTGTGCGCTCTATGATATACAGAAGCAAAATAAAACTGACTGTTCAAGTGAACTGCGTGCGCGCGTGAGATAAATTCTTGAATCTTAATTTGTTGATTGTTGATTCTTCATTTAGCCTTACCCAAAAAAAAAAAAACCCAACAAAACACAATTCTGTGCGAGTCGATTTCATGACATACATGGATCATGATCCGTAAACGTGGTACAAATGGGTCCGGGGGGGGGGGGCTACTTGGATAAAAGTGCAATACGGATATGTGCCGCCCGACTGGGGTGTCATTTCACGTTATTTTGTTTAAAAGTGGGTGGTCCTTTATCAATGTTTTGGTTTAAAAGTGTGTAGCATTTATTTACTTTTTCACAGGTCCTTATATTCAAGCCAAATACTGGAAAAGGCTGAATAAAATGCATCGCCAGGATGCGCTCACTGGTTGCAAAGTTGTGAGCTGGGTGTTTTTTTTTGTGCTGAAAACACCTGTGTTTAAAAGTGGGAATATAAATAGAAAAAAATGGTTTAAAAGTGAGTATGGTTTACGAGAGGTGGGCTACACACCCTTACCCACTTAATGTGGAAGTAGCCCTCCCGGGAAATGGGTACAGTAAAAATATATATAAATAACCTATGCTATAGATCAACTTGATATGGTCATGTAAATTAAATTAAAATACATCATTATGTGTGTTTCTCATCACAACAAAATCCCGATATCGGTTTTATAAAACGAACATTTATGCACGTAGAATATAGTATTTTTATTGTCATGATTGCAAATATATATTTCATAAATTTCACAACTTGTACGGTAGTTTCAATTTGTTGTGTTTCCGTTGTTCCTATACCCCCTTTCAGAAGTTTCCGGCAAGTTCACTCTGGTGATTACCCTAGTCGAGGATCTAAATAATATACGTAATCATTATCATCATTATTTTTCCCAGTTGGCTAAAAATTGAAAAAAAATTGAGGACTTGCATATTAACATTCGTTCATTGCCCAGGGGCCAGAAGTTTTCAGTCCGCCATCTTTAAAGGGTGTGGTC